CGCGAAATTTTACTCGGCCGACGGATCGAGCAGTTAATTATCGGTTTTTAAGCTAATTGTGCTTCTCTGCAGCACTTCGTCCGGTTTCTCCGTACGAAACAAATTGCATTCATTAGCGGTGCTTCCTAAATTGTCGAATTTTATTAATAAAAAGTTTCATGCGATACAGAGTTCCAGCCCGATAGCAGTTGGTTAATTATTAGTTGCTTGCATAATTATATCATCGCGTTTCGTTCGTAATTCACTTGCAAATGGATGTATCACGATGTGTGTATCACTTTTTTTTGTAGCATTTCGCTCGAAAATTTTAGGACTATGTTTTCATTTCGAAACTTTGTCCAATAAAGGATCTATAACGTGTTGATATATTGCATTGTATTATAAAATTTATTTAAGAAGCACATTAATTATTTCTAATTAATTTTATTTTTAATTAAGTCCATTGGTTATTTTATCAATGACAATTTAACAATTTAATTGTACAAGAAAAGTATCAAACTGAAACAATTAAATAATGCTTTGTAATATATTACAATATTATAATATAACATAATATATAATATATAATACAATATGCAATAAGAATGTAATATAATATATATTACAATATTATTACACTGTATTATATACATTAAGAATTGTATTATAAAATACAATTGAAGAATTTCATTATCTACTAATTGTAAAAAACTATCAAATTAGAACAATTAAATAATGCTATATAATATATTTTATAGCTATAAAACATTAAAAAAGTGCATCCTAAGACTTTCGTGTGGGAGTATAAAATTCGACACACTATTCTTGTTTAGTATTGTAGATGATATATATATTTTTTTACTTCTGTTACGTCAGATTAATGGACGTCCACATTTCTTCATTGAAAACTATTCTGTTTAGAAGAAAATAGAAAAATTTAGTAATAGAAAAGAAAATAGAATTAGTAATTGAATAGAAAAATTTAGAAAATAGAAAAGTTTAGTAATAGAAAATCATAGAAAACTTTTATTTAGAAAAATAAATGAACTCGTAGGAAATGGAGACTTCACATTTTGAAATGATATTGTACGACATCTTTTTCATTAAAGTTCGTGACAGTTAGAAATCGACATTTTAAACTGCTGCAATCCCTTGAGAAAATATACGAAATTCGGAAATATACCTGAGCTCATTTCAAAATACAAAGCATCTCACTTTCACAATATTGACTTCGTTTCTGTCAAAGATGTTTTCGTATTATTTTGAAGACAGTAAATACTTTCCCCTCGAAAATCTTGCAAATTCCATCTATATGGACGCAGGAAGATTTCTTTTCACTAAATTCGCCACGGTCTTCCCTTTGTCCCTTAAAATTTGCTCTACTCTTCTTTTCTTTTTCCACAAAATTATTCATCGAATGTACTTATACTTTTTCTTTTTCTAATTTTTGTAAAATGAAGAAGAAAGAATAACTCGAAGAATTCAGGCTATTCACTTCGACGATCTATACGAGTATTTTGATAAATTACCTATGTTTAGCAAACAATATATAAAGCAACAATAAAATCGCTGAAATACTTATTTCTATTAATACATTTTAACAGTGCAAGTTTGCCAATCTTTTTCACGAGGTTGTAGCAATTTAAATTTGAAACATTTATTCGATTTATATATATCACATAAATATGAATAATTCGTATCATTATTATTATTCAAACGTAATTGGATTTCTACATTTTTATTATTCAAAAGTAAATGGATTTCTAACGTACACGTGTTCCTCGATGCCCGCATCACGTCACGTAGCAACACTCGAGCAGACAGAATCGGAGTGATAAAACACTTTTTAACGCGTAATCCTAAAGCTCGCGTTATTTTCCATCGACTGACAACGAGGGCCCGTGAATGTTTGCATGGAAGAACACCCAGAAAGAAACGTTTTACCCCACGGTTGTTTCGACTTTTCGTACGAGGCGACAGGAACAACAAACAGGCGTCATCGGTGTCTCTCAAGCGTTGGCAAATCCGTGTCGACCGGATATGCCAGTCTTCTTCTTCGTTCCGGGCGGCGTTTCGACGTTCGATGGATCAATGCAAATAAACCGGCTGTCCCCCGACCAGAAAAATATTTGCCACAGTTTTTCTTTATTTTTTTTTTTTTTTTT